CTCTCTCTCTCTCTCTCTCTCTCTCTCTCTCTCTCTCTCTCTCTCTCTCTCTCTCTCTCTCTCTCTCTAGCCCGCAGACAACATTGCACGCTTTCATCTCCGGAGCGTTGGAACGTTTGTTGACACTGGTATCACACTGGCCGTCACGTGGTAACACAGGGTCACGCTCACGCGCGGACGCGAGATAAGCTTAGCAGAGCAATTGAAACGTCTTGAAAGTGGGGAATCTTTTGTTTGTTTTTGTAAGTGTTTTATGGCGCTCGCAACTGCATAAGGTCATATGAGTGCGCGGGACACATTAAACTTTTTCAGTTGCTAGGAAATTTTGAATTTTGCCCGGGTGGCGGCCGAAACCTACTCTTATAGAATTTAGACCGCTAAGGGATCTTTAACGTGCGCAACTTGCACACGGGCCCTCGGAGATTTTTCGCCCTTGTCCTTGAAGGCTAGGTGTAGATCTTTCCTACCAGAAGATCAGGGGTGTGGCTGAAAGACAGCAGTAAGAAGAAGCCAAGGAGTAGCAGTACTCGCAGTAGAAAGGCTGTAGAAAGAATCAGGAGCCCAGAGGAGGAGGCGAGGCAAAGGAGATGAGGGAGTGGGGGCAGAAAGAGGAGACGAAAGCAGACGACAGAACATTGCTAGAGAGCAGAAAAGGAGGTGAAATGAGATAAATTTAGAGAATAAAATGTTTTGGTCACTACCCGGATTCGAACCCGGGACCTTTGAATGAGAGGCCAACACCTTAACCTCTAGGCCACGAGAGCCCCCTGGAGAATCTTTGGTTCAGGGAAGAATCCACTTTGAAATAACGCATTATTTATTTGTTTTTCACGATTATCCTAACTATGATACAGGCAATCGCTCTTGTTTCGAATCAGGCTCGAAGCGGTGGGGACTTGAACCAGGGTCATCCACGTAGATTACTCTCTTGTTGGCTCTCATGATACTGTCTGCCTACTTGTGTGTGCTTACTGCTAAGTCTATCCATGTAAGGGATCGCTCTTTACAACGTAGTAAGGCACTTTGAGGAATGAAACTCGTTTGTTCATTAATGGTATAGGTAGAGTCTATACATTTCTAAAAGTGATTACCCCCCCC